GCCATAGCGGCTCACACGCCTCGAGATCATATCCCAGTTCATGCTCGAATTGCATACTCGATTACGGACACACTTGGATTACCGACGTCAGTTTCTGATCATCCACAGCTGGGCGTTGTGCAGACAGTACACCGCTGGAACAGAGACGCCCTTATGGACGGACTACGACGAGGTACTCATAGAGTGGAATTTCTTCAAAAGGTTGAACAACGGATTTCTGACGAAATGGATGAGTGGAAGCAGTTTCAAAGAGAGGAACAGACATCCAACAGAGATTGGTCTTATTTGCTTCAGGTCATAGGCGAGGCAGCAGCTCCATATTTCACGACCCCACCTTCGCCATCGTCGGAGTACAAGCAGCGACCAGCTCACTTTACCAGTCTCATACAGCAACAGCGTCAACTTCGTGAGGCACTAGGCGCAGCTATATTCGAGCGCTCAGTGGGGACCTACGACGCCATCGTCGACGGTGCCTCACACTGTGGCGCCAGGACATCACCGACGAGCTGGTGGCAGCCCACCAGCAGGACCGCAAGGCCGAGGTTGCTCGCTTGTCTCGCCTGCTGTCGGCCAGGGGCGCAGGCCCCAAGAAACGCAATTATAAACTAGCTGCTGCTGCTGTTCCCTGTTCAGACGACTGGAAGGCTCGGCTTCAGTTGCCCTCCAGCCAGGGGGGATTGGAGGCCACCATCATCGACTGGTCTCAAGAGGCCGAGGATTTCTTGTACCATCCTGAGTCAGGGTTGGAGACCGAACAGTTCATGCCCCCCTTCACGGAGGACGGCCTCCAGTGGGCCACGGAGAAGCTCCAGCTAATATCCAGATACCTTCGGAAGGCCAGTAAACGAGGAGCAGCCCCACCCGTGGTCACTCCCTTTAGAGCTCTTCTGGATGCTCCTGCACCCGTGCAGAAGGATCTCCAAAATATTTCGAGGGCAAGGCTATGAGGCTCCTACGGTTGACCAGACATGGACCAGGTACTACTTAAAGGTATGTCTACATCGAGTTTATCGCTCAGGACAAACACCAGTAGTTTGGCACTTATCCCAGGGCAGTGCCATCAAGTTTAAGAGGCTCGTGCACGTGTTGTGCCCGTTCGGCAAGGCCTTTATCGCCGCAGGCCTCCGACCCGATCAGCGTGATCGGGGGCCTCTCTTTGCTCATGGCTGCGTGGCTGGACGACGAAGAGAAACGGCCATGATGATTCAACAGAGTTTGAGTTGGCGTCTCAGACGCCTAGGCTTGCAGCATATTCGTGACAAGGACATCGATGGCGCCTTCGGCAGCACCCACTGGACTCATCTCTCTAGCACCAACGGGGCCATTATGAAGCCCCAGGAGATTTGCTATGGTGAACATCGTTTTATGAGGTAAGCCGTTGCCTTCCAAGGTCCCGACGGGTTTCCTTTCGCCAAGCCTCATGCGGGAGCTCTCCAGGGGGGCCCGTGGGCAGTCAAGATCTTCACCAGGGACATAGATATCGTTTTCGAGCAGACCCAGGACGCGTTCATCGAGGGGGGGATGAGACTTCAGACTGGCGCATTGTCGATTTGCCGCAAGATGAGGAGGAGAAGGAACCTATCGAGTTAGACCTGTCGCTTCACACGTATGTAGATGATGCTACCAAGACGCTGGTCACTGGATTGAGTGGCACCGCGTCTCATGCCGAGCTCAGCTCCAAATCGATCTCCTACAACGCCCTCCTCACCGATCAGCTCCTCACTCACAACTACGACCTCAATCCTGCTAAGAATGAGACGGTGCTGGCCCTTTTCGGAAAAGGCTCGCAGGCTGGCCGCGCGAGATTTAAGGCCAAAGTGCTCCCGACAGCCGGCGTGCCCGGCAACCTCGCCAATATGCTGGGGGGCTTCGTGCGTGCAGATTCTACGTTTAACAGCGAGCTTTCGGCCGGGCTCGCAGCAGTTGATGCAGGTTTTCACAGCATGGGCCGATATTGGTATCAGTATGGTATTCCACCAGTTGAGAAGCGAGCTGCATGTCTTTCTCGGGTTCTAGGGCCAGCAGTTTCTGAGGTAGCGCACTTTAATAAACTACAAGCACGAGTATTGCACTATGCGCGGAGGGCGATGGGGGGAGGAGCAACATGCGAAAAGGATGGTCACAAGGTCTCGCTTTCCAACATGCAGTGTTATCGTTTTTGGCAAATGGCTCCAGTAGGACATGAGCTTAGAGCGAGGAGGATAAGGTGGTATCAGAGGTGGGTAGGGAATCCTAAACGACACATTGCAGAATGGGGAGCACTACTCGGCAGCATGCGGGTCGAGCTCGCAAACGAGTTGCCGATTGTGGGCGGCGACGCTCGACTTACCGAGGCTGCATGTCCCTGGGCTCGCAGAATCGCGGAAGATATATCATCGTTGGCAGGGCTCGGGGACGATGATTACAGTATGGTGCAGCAGTTCGATGGGCAGCCTCTCCGCCTTTTTTTCTGACTCCGAGCTGATCGATTGGTTCGCGCTCTTCGACGCAAAAAAGATCAGAGCGGCATACTTATCGGTTCGCATCCCTCCCCCCAATTGGACCCCGCCATCTGAGACCCCAGAGGGCCCCGAGGCGCGGCAAGAGGTTGGGGAGCACGGCTGTCCTGCTCACGGGTGCTCCAGAAGGTTCCAGAGTAAACGCCGGGTCCTGGTCCATTTACATAACCATCGCGGCCTCAAATCTATTCTCGGGGCCGCTGCGGTTAACAACCAGTGCTTCGTGTGCAACAGTTTCTTTGAATCAAGAAACTCAGCATACAAACATGCGGTGGATTCATTCCAGAGTGGAGCGCGCATGGCGAATCGCAGTACGACATTCCGAACACCTACACCTTTTATCTTCGGACTGCTCGTTGTGCGAGGCTCAGGTGTCTGACCCTCTGAACTTAATTCACAACGTATACGCTCGCACTTTGTTAAATTGCCGCTACTGTTCGACGGTGGCGATCATGGCAAGCATCCCAGCCCGGCAGCTCAGCGCGAAGCGCAGGGCCAGTCAGGACACAGGCGGCGACGATCGACGGCAGCGGCTGGGACAACATGTGGTCGGCCAGGCTCGCCAGGAGCTCAAGGGCAAGGAGGGGGCACCATGGCGGCGCTGCTGACAGTCTTGCGCAGGCTTTCTCTCGCCAATGCCCGCGACCTCGTGGAAATCACAGGCGCTGCGTTCACCTGTTTCCTCCTGCCAGCCACCGCCGCCCTCGTCAAAGTGATGCAGACGGCTGGCCAGGACTGCGCGACGGACTGCGAAGAGCAGGGGGGGCAGCGCGACAACGGGCCTCTTTGGCCCTGCGTACTCATGGCGCTGGTAGCTCATTTCCTGACTACTCTAGCGGACAACAAGGAGCCAGTGGTGAGTCAGGCGCTGGCGGTTCTCAAGCACTACTGGACGCAGACGATCAAGGACGACAAGTCTGCGACTCTTTGTCTGCTAGCCGAGCACGCGCGCTACTGCCGCGCGCGGGCACGCTGGTTCGACAAGAAAGCTGGCAAGAAGGAGGCGGACACTTACAAACTGCAGTTCGTGCTGGGCCCATGCATTCAGAGCCGAGTTGTCGCGATCGACGGCGTGCCGCTGATGACGGTCCACGCGGCGCTGCAGGTGTGCATTCGTCAGGGGGGCGGCAAGATCAAGGCTGGAGCGGCTCCCAAGGGGGCCTTGGAGAGGGACGCAGAGCGTCTGCTGGCGAAGTTCGGGATGGCCTCAGAGGAGATTCAGAAGCACTTGGCAGCTTAGATGGTCGTATGACACCCCCCCTCCGTCGGTGTGCAACGCCTGAATGTTTGGGCCTCTGGTCCTGCGCCTTCGGAGCCCCCCCCCCCCCCCCCCCTGCTATGATTCAGAGAGTGGATAGTGCGTCGGCTTCAGCGACGCCCTCGGCCCCGACTTCGGCACCTACTTCTTCTGAGACCCGTGCTCGTTTGAGGATGAGGCAACCCGCTCGCTTGTCTGCCATCGCTCAGTCAATTCGCATGCTCGAGCTGGCCCAAGAGGGCCACCTTGGACACTCCCAGCTTGCCAAGCTGCAAGAGAAATCAGCCACCCCGATTTTAGAATACACTTCGGGGTATATGAAATTTAAGGCTTACTATCAGGACCCCCTGGAGTTTCGTTTGACGGTGGTTCAGGCTCTTCAGAGAGCCGCTCAGGTCAGGGCGGCTTCCACTGACCTCAGCTCCTCCTCGTTCTCTGCTGATGCGCGTGCTTCGAGTGCGCTGCTTGCTCCCTCCCTTCCTCCACCACCACCGTCACTGATTTCAGAATCCGAGCAGAATGAATTTCGCACATGACGCCACGGCCCCCTCCGCTGCCTGCTGCCCTCTCTCCTCCCCTTCCTCTCTCCCGCGGCTCCTGCTGCTGCTTGCCCTCCTCCTCCTGGCCTCGCGTGTGTGTGTGTGTGTGTGTGTGTGTGTGTGTGTGTGTGTGTGTGTGTGTGTGTGTGTGTGTGTGTGTGTGTGTGTGTGTGTGTGTGTGTGTGTGTGTGTGTGTGTGTGTGTGTGTGTGTGTGTGTGTGTGTGTGTGTGTGTGTGTGTGTGTGTGTTGCGTGTGTTGGCGGTGTCCTGTTCCCTCTCGCCCGTCGTTCCCCTTCGTTTCCTCGTCGTGTCGTTGCTGGGCCGTGGCCTAGGATTGAATTGGGGGAGACTTTCGACTCTCTTCTGATGCGAGCCTGCCGCTGGGAGGATGGTGCCCATGTAGGCCGTCACGGGCCGTTCCCCATTGGACTGTTCTGCTTTGGGCCAGTGGCTTTCCCCCAATGAGGCTGCAGGCTATAGCCCCGTGCTATCCGCAGATCCTTATACATATCATGCGCTCGTTTGCTAAGCGTCGCACGACACTGGAACTCACCAGGGTCGTAAGCGTTCCAGTCCAGTCCAGTCCTCGCCCTCCTCGCCCTCCTCCGCCTCGTCAGTGCTTGCCGCCTTCCCTCTCTCCCCTCTGTCGGTGTCGCCGCCCTCCTCCCGTGGCCCGCGTGCGCCGAACCAGCCCGCCGCGCCCAGGTGGAGGGCGAGGCCAAGATGGACGCCAACGAGGCCGCCCGCCGCGCCGGCAGCCGGCGAGAAGTGGTTGCGGCGACGCTCGGGAGGTGGGAGCGGAGGAGAGAGAGAGAGAGAGAGAGAGAAAGAGAGAGACAATCAGGAGGGGAGGAAACACACAGACACAATTAATCGTCGTCCCCCAAGAGAATCTGGGAAACTACTGGAAGTGGGGGGGGAAGACAAAACCCAAGAACATATGCGAACATATGGGGAATCTGGCTATTTGTGTGTATTTATTGAATCGCTTCGCTCATTCCGCCGGCCCGTGATATGGCATCGCTGGTTTTTGTCTGTGTGTTCGTTGCCCATGTTGCGCTCTTGGGGGCGGGTGTCGTTCGGACGCGTTGCGTGGGGAGTTTTGATGGTGAAGCAGTTCCCTGGGGGTCGTCTCTCGATGGGGCGAAATAGAGTCGTCGTCAAGATGCTTCTTTGGGGGGCCTCTTGGGGTCTGTTGAGAGGCCGTTCGGGGGCGCATGGGAGACATGTTTGAAGCCTTCTGGGGCTTCTTTTGGGCCTCCTGGGAGTCTCCTGGGGCCTCTTGGCGACATCTTGGGGCCTCTTGGAGGCCTCTTGGGGCCTCTTTGGGACCTCCTGGGCGCCTTCTGGGACGGAGGGCTCCATTTTTGAGTTCTCGGTATCCCTCCTGAGTCCCTCTTGGGCCCGTCTTGGGGCCTCTTGGTCCGTCTTGGGCGGCACTTGGGCCGTCTTGAGGGCTCTCTTGGGTCGTTTCGGCGCCGTCTTGGGAGCTTCGTGGGCCGTCTTGGAGCGGTCTTGGGGGCCTCTTGGGCCGTCTTGGAGCGTCCGGAAGCCGAAAAAGCCAGAACACAAAAAACATAGAAAAAACCAATGAAAATCAACGATTTTGGCCTCTTGGGGCTCTCTTCGGAGGCCTCTTGGAAGGCTCTTGGGGCGTCTTGGAGGCCTCTTGGGCTGTCTTGGGGGCCTTTTGGGCCGTCTTGGGGTCATCTTCGGCGTCTTCGAGCGCTCTTTGGGCGTCTCGGGGGCCTCTTGGGCAGTCTTGGGGGCCTCTTGGGGCACTCTGAGCGCGCTCTGGGGAGCCTGAGAGGCCGCACCCAGAAGGAAAACCATCTCTGAGTAGACTTGGTCGGGCGGCGGTCGGGCGTTGGTCGGGGTACTTTTCGCCGGGGGACCCCCAGGGGCCGCCCCGCGCGCGCGAACTAGAAATTCGCCGGCCCAACGGGCCAGAGGAGTGCTAAGATCTCCGGTAACTGGTTAACAATTGTATATTGTACTAGTTCGCGCGCGCGGGGCGGCCCCTCGGGGTCCCCTGGCGAAAAGTACCCCGCCCGCCGCCTGGCAAGGTCCCGCCCGGTTCAACTCAGAGATGGTTTTCCTTCTGGGTGCGGCCTCTCAGGCCGCCCTGAGCGCGCCAAGAGTGCCCCAAGAGGCCCCCAAGATTGCTCAAGAGGCCCCCGAGACGTTCAAAGAGCGCTCCAAGGCGCCGAAGATGACCCCAAGACGGCCCAAGAGACCCCCAAGACAGCCAAAGAGGCCTTCAAGACGCCCCAAGAGCCTTCCAAGAGGCCTCCGAAGAGGGCCCCAAGAGGCCAAAATCGTTGATTTTCATTGTTTTTTCCTATGTTTTTTGCGTTCTGGCTTTTTCGGCTTCCGGACGCTCCAAGACGACCCAAGAGGCGCCCAAGATCGCTCCAAGACGGCCCACGAAGCTCCCAAGACGGCCCCGAAACGGCCCAAGAGGGCCCCCAAGACGGCCCAAGCCCCGCCCAAGACGGACCAAGAGGCCCCAAGACGGGTCCAAGAGGGGCTCAAGAGGGATACCGAGAACTGAAAAATCGAGCCCTCCGCCCCAGAAGCCGCCCAGGAGGTCCCAAAGAGGCCCCAAGAGACCCCCAAGAGGCCCCCAAGACGCCCCAAGAGGCGCCCAAGAGGCCCAAAAGAGGCCCCAAGAGGCCCCAAAACGGCCCCCAAGGGGCCCCAAAACTCGGCTAGCCCACAACGGTGCGACAATATGGGCCGGCGGAATGAGCGAAGCGATTAAATACTGTTAATACTGTTAACCAGTTACCGGAGATCTTAGCACGCCCTGGCCCGTTGGGCCGGCGAATTTGTGTGTCCCAGGGCCCTTTCACACAGCCACCTGTCTACGTCGCAGCGTGGCAGGGGCGGTCCGCGCGCGCGCTCAGCAGGCCGGGTGACGCCATTGCAAATGGTCCGGAGGCGAGAGGGAGGGGAGAGGCACCTGGCATCGCGCGGACGTGTGTATTTTTTCTCGGCGAGGGCCCTTGAGGAACATCCTACATCATCGAGCAAAAAAAACACGCACGAAACCGAACAGTGCACGGGAACTGGACGTCCGCGCGACGGCAAGGGAAGGAGGAGCTGCCGCGAGAGGGGGGGTGAGGAGGAAGAGGAGGAGGAGGAGGAGGAGGATGAGGAGGAGGAGGAGGAGGAGATGAGGAGGAGGAGGAAGAGGAGGAAGGAGGATGAGGAGGAGGAGGAGGAAGGAGGGGGGAGGGGGAAGGGGGAGGAGGAGGGGGAGGAGGAAAGGAGGAGGAGGGAAATGGACGTCCGAACTGCCGCGAGAGGGGGGGGGGGGGAAGAGCCGAGCGCGCTGGCGCAGCGGGGGCCGCGGCGGGGCGCCCCGGTGGCGGCCGAGCCCCGGCAGCGAGGCGGAGCCACAAGGAGGCGGGAGGTTGCGGGAGTAGGCGGTTCCTCTAGCTCCCCAGAACTCCTCGCGTCGGACAAAAACACCACTGGAGGTTTTTCGCTATTTTCGGCCTCCGGGGGCCCTCGCCGGGCCTCGGGGCCGTCAAAAAACGTCTCAGGATGAAGAACCGGTCCCGGGGAAGGAGTCCAGACCTCTGGGGGTCGACGTTGTGAAAAAATCACGACGTCGGAGGCCTGGGTCGCGCCGCTCCTGATGGTCACTTGTCCACCGCCGAGTTATGGTGTGTGTGTGTGCGCGTGGTGTGACTAGTTTGGCATCTGGAGGAGGAGAACCAGGGAGGAGGGCAGATGGCGACTCAGCCTCACTATGATGTGGACGGTGCGCACGAGGAGAAGGCACATGGGCACGAGCTAACAAGGTAGGGTACGGGTGGATGAACACGATAATCTTCTCTTTATTGCGAAGGCTTTACGGCTGGTGCTGCCGACACTGAAGGGGTACGACGACGACGCTGACAACGACGACGACGACGACGACGACGACGACGACGACGACGACGACGACGACGACGACGACGACGACGACGTGGGCCAGAGTCCTCAGGATTCTGTTTGGGGTCTATTCGAAGCGCTCTCGGAGGCCTCTGGGGGGAAGTTTTGGGGGCCCCTTTGGAGCGTCTTGGAGGCCTCCTGGGAGCCTCTTGGGGCTTCCTGGGGGCCTCTTGGGGGCCTCTTGGAACCTCCTGGGGGCCTCCTGGGGGCCTCTCGGGGCCGAGGGCTCGAAAGGTCCGTTGGTCCCGCCCGCAGATTCCGCCGCCCCGCGCCGGGGGCCGCCACGGCACAGGCCGCCCGCTCAGCCAGCAGCCTTCCAGTGGGTGGCCGCGTGGAGCCTCCTCCTAATCCTCCTCCTCCTCCTCCTCTCCTCCTCCTCCTCCTCCTCCTCCTCCTCCTCCTCCTCCTCCTCCCTCCTCCTCCTCCTCCTCCTTCTCCTCCTCCTCCTCCTCCTCCTCCCTCCTCCCTCCTCCTCCTCCTCCCCTCCTCCTCCTCCTCCTCCTCCTCCTCCTCCTCCTCCTCCTCCTCTCCTCCTCCTCCTCCTCCTCCTGGACCCATGCCGCCACTGGGCATCACTGGTGCAACCGCGGCCCTGACTCGAGGCGGGCCTGGGATCGGCCGCGCCCGCCTCCTGGCAACGCAGCGTGGCACGGACGGACGCACGGCGCTGCCTCGGCAAGCCCGGACCTCCGGGGCGTTGACGGACCCCCTGGGCCGAGGCTGCCTTCGGGCCGCCCCTGCCACACAGCCCAGCCGCCCCCGCAGCCTCCGCCGCCCGGCGAGCTCGCCGCCCCTCTCGCCCTCGATTCGATCCTCCGCGCGAGCGCCAGCGCTTCGACTAGTGGACCCCGGCGCGGTGCATCAGCGCGGCCGACCTGCTGCAGCCCCCCGGACCTGCCCACTTCCTCCTCCTTCTCCTTCCTCCTCCTCCGTCCTCCTCCTCCTCTTCCTCCTCCTCCTCCTCCTCCTCCTCCTCCTACCTGCCCTCCTCAATCCTCCGCGCTCCTCCTGCAGCTGCTGCTGCTGCTGCCTCCACCTCTCCACCTACTCTCCTCCTCCTCCTCCATCCTGCTGCGGCTTCAGTTGCTGATGCTGCTTTCCTATCTCCTCCTCCTCCTCCTGCTGCTTTCTCCTCCACCTCCTCCTGTCCCCCCGCCTCATCCTGCTCCTCCTTCCTCCTCCTCTTCTCCACTTCTCCTCTTCTCCTCCTTCTCGTCCTCCAATTATCCTCTTCCTCCTTCTCGCTCCATTCCTGCTTCCTCCGCTTCCTCCTTCCTCCTCCTCTTCTCCTCTCCTCCTCCTTCCTCCTCCTCCCTCCTCCTCCTCCTCCTCCTCCTCCTCCTGCTCTCGTCCCTCCTCCTCCTCCTGCTCCTCCTCACTGTCTCCTCCTGCTCCTCGTCCTTTCTTTCTCCTCTCCTCCTCCTCCTCCTCCTCCTCCTCCTCCTCCTCCTCCCACCTCCAGCTCCTAGCTCCTAGCTCTCCTCCTCCTCCTCCTCCAGCTCCTCCCTCCCTTCCCCTCCCAACGCCTCCCTCCCACCCTCCACCCTCCTCCCTCCCTCTTCCTCCCTCCCTCCTCCTCCTACTCCTCCTCCCTCCTCCTCCCTCCTCCTCCTCCTCCTCCTCCTTCCTCCTCCTCCTCCTCCTCCTCCTCCTCCACCTCCTCCGCCTCCGCCCCTCCTCCTCCCCCTATACCCCTACGGTGGCACCGTAGGGGTATAAACTTTCCCGCCGCCCTGGGGCAGGTGTCCCCGACGGCGAACAAGTTTATGTTATACCGTTCTTCGCCCGTTAACAGACCCCCGACGTCGTGATTTTTTCACAACGTCGACCCCCAGAGGTCTGGACCCCTCCCCCGGGACCGGTTCTTCGTCCTGAGTCGTTTTTTGACGCCCCCGAGGCCCGGCGAGGGCCCCCGGAAGCCGAAAGTAGCGAAAAACCTCCCGTCGTGATTTTTCCACGACGCCAGGAGGTCTGGGCCTGGCGCCTGCTCGCTGCCCCAGCGCCCCCTGGAGGGTGTCTGCGAAGGGCTTGGGCGACCCGCCCCGTCCTCCCCCTCTTCCTCCCCCTCCTCCTCCCCCTCCTCCTTTCCCCTCCACCTCCTCATCCTCCTCCTCCTCCCTACACCTCACTCCTCCCCTCCTCCTCCTCCTCCCTCCCTCCCACCCTCCTCCTCCTCCCACCGCCCATCCTCCTCCTCCTCCTTCCTCCTCCTCCTCCTACTCCTCCTCCATCCTCCTCCATCCTCCTCATCCTCCTCCTCCTCCTCCCCTCCCTCCCTCCCCCCTCCCTCCTCCTCCCTCCCTCCCTCCCTCCCTCCCTCCCCTCCCCTCCCTCCCTCCCTCCCTCCCTTCCTCCCCTCCCTCACTCCTCCTCCTCCCTCCTCCCACCTCCTCCTCCCTCCTAATCCCCCTCCTCCCTCACTCCCTCCTCCCTCTCCTCCTCCCTCCTCCTCCTCCGCCGCGCTCTAGCTTTTCCCTGTTCTCTTCGGCGAACTGCTGGGCTCCCGCGCGGCCCTCCTCGCGCGGGCTGGACGGCGAGGATAAAACGACGCGAAGATCGGGACAAAATCGGATCGGGATAACTCGAAATCTCTGAGAATCGGCGGGTTTGGAGGATGTACTGGGCGCCGCGGCCGCTCCAGAGCGTTCCGGAACGCTCTGAGAGCGCTCCGGAACGCTCTGGAGCGATTTATCCCGATCCTAGCCCTGTTTTACCTCCTCGCGCGGGCTGGACGGCGAGGAGGCGCTCCCGCCCGCGAGGACCGAGAATTCAGTTTGAGTCGGGCCCGTCCCTCTACAGGAGGAAGATTCAAATATAGTTAAAAATCGGTATGGGGACTATTTTTTAGTGTTTTTTTTTCTACAAAGTTGGAGTATTTTTTGAGTATTCGTTTTTTTTGTCCGTCGAACATCCCCCTGTAGGGGGACACGCCCGACTTAAAAATAAGCGTGTGTGTGCGTGTTTATCGCGTGTTTTTGAGGCCCCCATTCGCCACGGCGCGTTTCTGGGGATACTGTTTCGCCACGCGCCCCATGTCTTTGAACGCCGGTTGGACCCACTGGTGCGTCGGAGGAAAGTACTTGTCTGGGCCAGGGTGATTCGTGTGTCGCTTTGGGTGCCATTCCCATGCTGCAAACCCGCCTGGTGGGTGCTCATCCCCTTTGACAGGTAGTCTGACCTATTAGTGCTGTTTTTTCAATCTCGATCATCGCTTTTCGACTCGACCGTGTGAGAGGCAGTGTGTGCTTTGGCTCAGGTGTCGCCAGAGGTTCCTGCCACCTGCTCTGCGGCCTGGCTCGCTTCCTCCTTCCTCCGCCCTGTCCTTTTCCACCCTACCTCTCCTCCTTGTTCTCCTTCCGCCTGTTCCTTCCCCGCCTCATCCGCTTTCACCTCCCCCTTTCCTTTATCCTCCCTCCTCCTCCTCCTCCTCCTCCTCCCTCCTCCTCCTCCTCCTCCTCCTCCTCCCCTCCTTTCCTCCGCCCTCCTCCTCCCCCCTCCTCCACCCCGCTCCTCCTCCTCCTCCTCCCCCCCCTCCCCCTCCTCCCTCCCCTACTCCTCCTCCTCCTCCTCCTCCTCCTCCTCCTCCTCCTCCTCCTCCTCCTCCTCCTCCTCCCGATCCGCGAATCAAGGTGGGGTTCCTGACCGACGCCATCGGTCGGCTGAAGGTACCCGCTACGGACTTTCCTCGCTGCTTGCACGTCCGCGTGAGGAGAAGGCGTGGTAGGCTTCATGCGCACAGTGCCCGCCATATCACAAAGCACAAAATCAGTCGACGCCGCTACACACTCATATGTGGCAGTTGATCACGCTGGATGCCCTAAGTGACGGGTTCGTCTCAGTCACCTTTCTTGTGAAAGCAGGCCAGAAAAGCGCAGCGAATAGATGTCACAGCATGCGCATTGCGTTGTTCAGTCATCCACCCCCTGGTGGAGAGCAGCAGGAACTGTCACCCATCTTGGTCATCTCTGTTTCGCGTCTGTTTCCCTGCCAAGCCCCAGTACGGCAGGTTTGCGTCGTGTCGACCAGCGGCGACCCCGCCGCCCGCATTCAACGTTGAACGCCGCCGGCGACCTAGAATCGGTCGATGATGAACGATCTGATGTTTCGGAATCGGCCGATCGTTCAACTTTGAACGATCCCCTCGGTGTCAGAAACCAACGCCGAAGTCGGCACGACACGAACCTGCCGTATGTCCCTTGTCTTTGGGCTCATCTGGGCTGGTGGCACCTGCGGCGGCTCCTCTTGCCGGGAGGAGGAGGAGGAGGAGGAGGAGGAGGAGGAGGAGGAGGAGGAGGACACGAACCTGCCGTAGTTGCAATCTCCGTGTCCCAGGTCCACCTTCGGCTCCGGGCTGCGTGCGCTCTTACCCGCGAGGGCGCGAAGATGCCGCGCTTCGCGCGTCGCGGCCTGGGCAGGAGAAGCGCCATAGCTCGTGGGCGGCGGCGCCGGGGCGCGAATATTATTATTATTAGTATTATTATTATTATTATTATTATTATTATTATTATTAATATTCTTATTATTATTATTATTTATTATCATCATTATTATTATCATCATTATTATTATTACGATTATTAGTATTAGTATTATTATTATTACCATTATTATTATTATTGTATTAGGGACTCGATGCGCGAAGAGTGCGAAGATAGGTGATCTTGGCTCTTCTTCCGCACACGACTTAGATGCCCTGCCCCTTCTTCTCGAACGCAAGGTCAGCATCACCAGCGCGCAGTTCAGGCCATGCGAGAAGGAGGCCGCATCATGATGCTGTGCCCGTTTTTTCTCATGCTTGCCACGCGGAGGGCGGTGACTCAGACGACGAGGACGAGTGCGAGGACGTGGAGGAAACCCGACTTACTGCCCCTTCTCGCGGATCATTGTCTAAACCTTGGCGTGAGCGAATCTGAGTTCGGAATTGATGGCTCGTGGTCTGCTCTCCTGTGTCGTCTCCCGTATGCTTGTGGTCTCATGTGTGGTCTCCCTTGTGTCTCCCTTGTGCTCTCCATTGTGGCCTCCCGTATGGTCTGCCGTATGGTCTGATGTTTCGTTTTCCTTTCATGCATTATGGTATCCCACTGGTTTTAATAGATTACGAAGGCCTTACGGCCGGTGCCGCCGACCCTGAATGGCGACGACGACGACGACGACGACGAGCGCTCTTGGGGGCCTCTTGGGGGTAGTTTATGGTATCCCACTGGTTTTGATAGACTTTCTGTGTGGCCTCCCTTATGGTCTTCCTCCTGGTCTGCCGTCATGGTCTCTCGTGTGTTCTCCCCTGTGGTCTCCCGGTCCGTATGGTACGGGTCTCCCGTACGGTATCCATAATGGTACCCTGTACGTCACCGCCCACCAAACCACCCCAACCCAGCCCGAAGGCTCAGATTTGCCCTCGATTTCCAGTGGGGGGGGTGTCGGGAAACATTGAAAAAACACGCGTGGAACCATACCCCCCCCCAACCCGAAATTCGGGTCTTCGGGTTGGGCTGGGGTGGTCTGGTAGGTACCCTGTACGGTCTCCTATTCGGTCTTATTGATGGTCTCCTTTTCTGGGTCTTCTTTACGGTGTCCGTGTCGTTTGTTTCCATTCTGGTCTCGTTCTTGGATTCCTTTATCGTCTCCCTTCTGTTTTTCTTATGGTCTTCCTTAGGGTCTTTCGGGTGGTCTCCCTTTTGGGTCTTCTTTACGGTGTCCCGTATGTCGTTTGTTTCCATTCTGGTCTCGTTCTTGGATTCCTTTATCGTCTCCCTTCTGTTTTTCTTATGGTCTTCCTTAGGGTCTCTCGGGTGGTCTCCCTTTTGGGTCTTCTTTACGGTGTCCCGTATGTCGTTTGTTTCCATTATGGTCTCGTTCTTGGATTCCTTTATCGTCTTCCTTCTGTTTCTCTTAAGGTCTTCCTTAGGGTCTCTCGGGTGGTCTCCCTTTTGGTCTTCTTTACGGTGTCCCGTATGTCGCTTGTTTCCATTATGGTCTCGTTCTTGGATTCCTTTATCGTCTCCCTTTTTTTTAATGGTCTTCCTTAGGGTCTCTCGGGTGGTCTCCCTTGTGGTCTCCCATGCGGTCTCCCTTCTGTCTCTGATATGGCCTTCCTTACGTCCTCCCTCATGGTTTTCCCCATGGCTTCCCTGCACAACGTTCTAGAGCACTCTCTGTATTATTCTTCACTATCCACGATGCTCTCCATAGTGCTCAAAACAGCGGTTTAGGGTCTCCTAGGGTCTTCTGTCGCAGTACGTTTGACGGCACCGTGGTGTGAACACTGGCCCTGGAGGCCATCTCGTTCCCCCTCCTCGATCTCTCACCGCCCCTTCCGTCCACGCATTCTGTGCGGACGTGTCCGAGCGGTGGTCTTCGTTCGTCCAGTGCCTTCCCAGACATCTTGCTGCTCCAATTTTTTTGGTGCGTGGGCCCCGGAGGTCCGGACCACTTCCCCGGGGCCAGTTTTTCGTCCTGGGTCGTTTTTTGACGCTCCCGAGGCTCGGCGAGGGCCCCCGAAGGCCGAAAACGGCCAAAAACCGCTTGCTCCAATTTTTTTGGAGCGTCGGATCTCAGGGTTCGTCCGCCGACCCCAGTTGATCTACGTCAAGCTGAAGACGTGGCCGGCCGACAAGCTCCTGCCCATCATGGACCTGTGGGCGCGCGCCGTGGACAGACGATGACTGTCGTACAGCGACAGCGGGCAGCGGGCAGCGGGGGGAGGAGGAGGGGGAGGAGGAGGAGGAGGAGGAGGGAGGGTGAGGAGGAGGAGGAGGAGGAGGAATGAGGAGGAGGAGGAGGAGGAGGAGGAGGCGGAGAGGAGGAGGGAGGAGGAGGAGGAGGAGGAGAAGGAGGAGGAGGAGGAGGGAGGACATGGAGCAGCACGAGTTTCCGCACGTCGGCCGCCACTGCACGCTCTGCGCTGTTCTGACCTCTTCAGTGCGCCTCCCTGGCCTCCCTTGCTCCCTTGGGAGGGAGAGGCAGTGGGGGGCACTTGGGCAGTGAGGGTGTACACGAAGGGTCCCAAGGACACACAAATCAATACACACACAAATAAAAGGATTCCCAATCTTTGTCCATGTTTTCTGGATTTTTGTCTTCCCCCCCACTTCCCATAGTGTCCCATTTTTTCTGGGAATCGACGATGAATTGTGTCTGTGATTTTTGTTCCCCCCTCCTGAGTACACTGGGGCCGCGCATCAAGAAGCTGGCTGCTTTTCGTCAGGGGTGTGCCCTGGGTTTCTTCGCTCCGCGCGCTGCGCGCTAAGCTTCCCGCGGCCGTTGAAGGAGAGACGAGGAGGAGGAGGAGGACGAGGAGGACGAGGAGGAGGAGTAGGAGCAGGAGGAGGATATTGCGCTCAGGGTGCTTAGGGCTCCTCCCACTTGCGCCTCGCGCCTGCGGGTTTCAGGGCTGGGCTCCTTGCGAGGGGGGTTCCTGCGGCCGCGCCCGCACTGTCTGCTCCTTGGAGTATACTTGGGCGGGGCATCCTGCGCATCCGCATGCCACGCGCTCCCCCAGGTGGTGGTGGTGGTGGTGGTGGTGGTGGTGGTGGTGGTGGTGGTGGTGGTGGTGGTGGTGGTGGTGGGCGTGGTGGTGGTGGTGGTGGTGGGCGTGGTGGTGGGCGTGGTGGTGGTGGGCGTGGTGGTGGGAGTGGTGGTGGTGGTGGTGTCAGTCTCATCATCTCTACCAGAGGATCGGAGGATGGTCAACATTACCAACACCTGGAGGATGAGGAGGAGGAGGAGGAGGAGGAGGAGGAGGAGTCCCTGAGATCGGGCCACTTGGATCCACCCTTCGGCGAAATGGGGTAGGTGGATCTACACCCTCTGCGCCTCGAGCCGCGGCGGCGCCCCCGAGCAACGAGGGGTGCGCAGCTGGAGGGCAGCAGGTACGGCCCGTGCTCGGCGAGCTCAGCGGCGTCCAGCCGCTCAGGCAGACGACTCGCCTCCTGGTGGCGCGCGCCCGCGAGGCAGACGCCGAGACCCTGACCCGCCAGCGCCGCCACCGACAGCAGCCCAGGCGGGAGGGCCGACGGCCTCGGCGACACGCCGCCCGCGGCCACTGCCGGCCCTCCGCCAGGGAGGCCACCGACGACGGCCGTGGCCTGCGCCGACGCGCACCAGCGAGTGCACACGGCGCCGCGGGGCGCCGCCTGCACACCGCGAGGGAGTCGCCTAAAACTCGCTGCTGCACACGGCGAGGGCGCCGCCTCCCTCCAGTCGGCGGACCGCTCGCTGCACACAGCGAGGGCGTCGCCCGACCACAAGACCAGGGCGGCTTTCCCGCGCCGCAGGGCGCCCGCGCCGCGGGGCGCCCGCCAGGACGCCCACCCCAGCGGGGCTAAGCAACTCGCAGCAGCGCAGACGACTGACCGCGCTACCCGGGCCTACTTGCCGCGTGTGGGCACTTGGCGCTCTGCCGCGCAGCGCGCCAACGCTCAGACGGGCCAGGCCGGCGACGTGCCGACCCGCAGCGACCAGACGCACCCCACCAACGACCAGCACGACTGGTGGCCAGCCCGCCGACGACTCGTGCCTCGAGGTCGACCTCCACAGCGACCGACACCTGCCGCACGTTGCGGTTGGGAGGCGGCGGTACAGTCGGGGCGCTAAACTAGGAACCCTTTTCGTTGGGGAGGGGCTCCGTGTTCCTTAATGTTTCGCAGCTTGCCTTAGGTTGTCCTTAGGTTTTCGATGGGGAATCGAAGTTCAACTTATTGAAAAAAAGGGGCCTCGTTCCTTATTTAGGGTTCCTTAGCTCAACGCCCCGACTGTAGAGGCGGGCGCAGATCAGCGCAACTGGCCTGGGGGGGAACTCCTCAGTTGGCCACCTCGGACGAGCACCGACGCATCTGCTCCGTGCCAGCTGCTGAGCCACGCCGTTCCGCTGCCCGGCCCGGGGGCCCAGCTCCCTTTCCCTCCAGCCCTGCGCCACGACGACGCGGGCGGCAGCACCCACCACCCCAGACCTCCTCGAGCCGTGAAAAAATCACGACGGGAGTTTTTTTTTTTTTGTTGCTATTTTCGCCCTCTGGAGGTCCTCACCGGGCCTCGGGACCGTCAAAAAACGACTCAGGCTGGAAAACCGGTCCAGGGGAAAGGAGGGGGCCACATGCGAACCCTACCCCTGCCCCCCACGATTTCTGAGGGGGAGGGTGGGGTTCACTTCGCTCGGGAGCTCCCGAGCGAAGTGAACCCCACCCTCCCCATCAGAAATCGTGGGGGTAGGGGTAGGGTTCGCATGTGGCCCCCTAGAAAGGGTCCAGACCGCTGGGGGTCGACGTTGCGAAAAAGTCACGACGTCGGGGGTCTGGGACTCCTCTTGCTCCCGCCTGCCTCGCGGCTCCCGCCTGACCGCCTCGCCCGCCGCCGAGTGCAGTTCCCGGGACTTCAGGGCGACCCTGAGCTTCAGTCGGGCGTGTCCCCCTACAGGGGGATTTTCGACGAAGAACAAAACATATTCCAAAAATATTCCAAAATGGCCAAACGTACTCCGAAAATAGTCCCTGGACTATTTTCGGATTATTTTTGGGCTATTTTGGGGGCATTTCTTATTTTTCTTCGAAAATCCCCCTGAACACCTTAGGCGATGCTTAAGAAAACCCAAGTTTTCGGCCGGAGTCTCGATTATTCGTAACGTTTCAATGCAAAGCTTAAGATTTTAATAGAAATCTTGGGTTTTTATTCAAGTTTTGAGACTATGAATTTCTTAACCCATGATTTCTTAACCATTTCGCGTGCTGCAGGGGGGCAGGCCCGACTTAACCCTGAGCTCTCCCGCCTTCGAGCCGGCCTCTCGACCGTGCACCCTGCCGTTCTCTTCTCCTCCAGCGGACACGAAGGCATGGGCGGCGTTGGAGCCGAACGTTCTGGCTGATGTCAATTGCGGGGATCCCAGACCTCCTCGCGTCGTGAAAAAATCACGACGGGAGGTTTTTCGCTATTTTCGGCCTCCTGGGGCCCTCACCGGGCCTCGGGGGCGTCAAAAAACGACCCAGGACGAAGAACCGGTCCCTGGGAAGGGGTCCAGACCTGTGGGGGTCGACGCTGTGAAAAAATCACGACGTCGGGGGTCTGAGATTGCGGGGACTGTGGGCGAAACTCCCACTTCACGGTCTGAGTCCTTCCTCCCTCCCCAGACCCCCGACGTCGTGATTTTTTCACAACGTCGACCCCCAGAGGTCTGGACCCTTTCCCCGGGACCGGTTCTTCGTCCTGAGTTGTTTTTTGACGGTCCCGAGGCCCGGGGGAGGGCCCCCGGAGGCCGAAAATAACGAAAAACCTCCCGTCGTGATTTTTTCACGACGCGAGGAGGTCTGGGGTGGGGAGGGGAGTGCTCGGCGGAGTGCGCAGCCCGTTTGGCGAACCCGCCAGCGCACCCACAGCCCCAGGCTGGCGCGGGGCGCGGCGGGCGGGCGCGGTGGGCCTGGGGGGCAGGGCGCGGGCGCCCCCCAGCACCCCAGACCTCCCGGCGCCGTGGAAAAAATCACGACGGGAGGCTTTTCGCAATCCTTCGGCCTCCGGGGGCCCTCCCCGGGCCTCGGGATGAACAACTCGGGATGAACAAACGGTCCCAGGGAAGGGGTCTGCGAGAGGCCCGGCGGTGGCGCCGGAGCGCGGAGGAAGAACCTTGAGTCGAGAGGGAACCCCAGACCTCCTGGCGTCGTGGAAACAATCACGACGGGAGGCTTTTCGCAATCCTCGGCCTCCGGGGGCCCTCCCCCGGGCCTCGGGGGCGTCAAAAAACGGCTCGGGATGAACAAGCGGTCCCGGGGAAGGGGTCCAGACCTTTGGGGGTCGACGTCGTGAAAAAATCACGACGTCGAGGGTCTGGGTCTTGGTCTTCGGCGAGGACCGTCAGGTCGGGCCTGTCCCTCTACAGGGGGAAGAGGTGCAGAAATAGTCAAAGCACTGTCTGGGGACTATGTTTGGAGCACTTTTTTTTGCCATCTTGGAGCATGTGTGGGGTGTCTTTTATTTTTGGAGCACCTGGGGACTATGTTTGGAGCACTTTTTGGGGGGCCATCTTGGAGCATACGTGGGGTGTCTTTTATTTTTCGTCGAGCAGAGCCAGGGCGAGGTTCGATCCGCTCCAGATCGTCCCGGCACGCTCTCAGAGCGTCCCGGGAGCGTTCTGAGAAGGCCGTGGCACCCGAGGCATCCTCCAGAACCCCGAATCATAGGGCTCGTTTCGATTCCTCCGATTCGATTCGATTCGATTTCGATGGCTTCCGATTCCGATTCGATTCGACTTGAGATTCCGACTTGGGCTCCGATTTCTTATTGGAGGCCTACTAGCCTGCCGATGTCTGCCGATTCGACTTTTCCCGACTCGGCTGCCGATTTCCGCCGATCCGATTCATTTCGATCGCCGATCCGACTTATCGATTCGATTCTGGGCTCTCCTGCCCGATCATCAGGGGTAACTCGGGTCAGGGATAACTCGGGTTCGTTTTTCGGGAATCCAAACCCGAGTTACCCCGGACCCGAGTTACCCCGGATAAATCGGGCGCCCAGAGCCCCGAATCATCAGGGGTAACTCGGGTCAGGGATAACTCGGGTTCGTTTTTCGGGAACCCAAGCCCGAGTTACCCCGGACCCGAGTTACCCCCGATAATTCGGGCGTCCAAATCCTCCAGAACCGCTGGATCCCAGAGAT